ACCTATCCATCTCAGTCATCCAGGACAATCAGGGGCGAATCCAGAGATGTCTGAAAAGGGGTGTCCAAAGGGGACCAACAGAGGGGGCCGATCAAGACAACATTACCCTAAAGGGTCCACGAAATTTATGTTTTATAAATGCCTGAAAACAAAGTTTTGGGCAATCAATTATTGCTTTTTCCTTCCTGAAATTTATTCCATGTGTCTTTTGGCGTTGAGCATACTGTAAATATAGTGCAATCCACCCCTCGTTATAAGTAAATTAGACCACTCCCCAGTGCTGGGAGCTGATTGGTCATTTAAATACAACTGGGTTAGGATCTTAGGACCCATCGAACAAGGCGTGATTGAAGTTGAGAGAGGAACTTAGTGCAGACCATCCTACAAAATTTAGAATTGGGAAATCCCGTACGTTAGTGTTTGGCACGTGGACCTGCAGTAATTCTATAAAATAATTATAGTCAAAAACTCAATCATTAAGACCCTAGTAAGGGTCCAGCCTGCTTCTTAGTTCAACTACAGGTGTTAACGGAAATCGGTAGGCGGCTGCTGTGTGCTCCGCAAATACATTTTTGTAGTCTTATTGGTAATGGTGCAAGTGTTCATTTTTAATAATTGCTCAGAAACTCAGTTAATTGTGATTGAAGTGTGTTTAACAGTCAATTAGTGTAATCTGTCGGCGTCCTACAGACTTACTTGCACGGGACTTTGACTGAGACAGTGGAAATCCGCCACAATACTTTAGAGGTTATAACCATCAATTTCAATACCATTCAAAACTTTGGCCTATTTTACAGAAAGAACCAGAGAGACATGATGTACAGGTGTAATCAGTACAGGATTTACACAAACCTCCATTCTGACAGAAAGGAACTCAACAAACACACTGAACTAAATGTGAATATTTTAGGAACAAGAGCGCTCTCATCAGGTCCGCGTGTTCCTCCCTGCTTAAATACGATACAGGCGTTATTTATTATATTGGTTTTTTTGGAAGAGGTAATAAGATAGAAATTCTTAAATAATTAGAATGTTTATTTGTACAAAAAAAAACATTTAGAATAATCATTTGTACAAAATTAAAATATTTAAAATAGGAAAAACAAATAAAATTGGAAAATAAATTGAATACCGAGACGAGAGTTTCGAACTCACAACTTTAAGTTTTCATAACTCATCCTTAACTGACCGCACCATTCATGTGACATGCCCTATTAGTGGTACTTGCAATAATGTACAGTCCTTGCTGAAACCCCTGTTTTGTTTTGTAGGTGTAGGTCACCTGGGGTCCAACTTAATAAAGGGAAATAAACATTTATTGGAAATCCCATTTAGTTTATGTGTACACATTTTTCTGCACGTCCGTTCAAAAATGGCGACGCTGGAAGCTTGTAAAGTCTGAAACCCGTTTTGTTTTGTAGGTGTAGGGGTAACCCTGGGGTCCATCTTAAAAAAAAGGGCGATGAAAGTTTGTTGGAAATCACCTCTAGTTTATGTGTACAAAATTTCCTGCACGTCCATTCAAAACTGGCGTTGTTGGACACTTTTAAAATTTGAAACTCCTGCTTTGTTTTGTAGGTGTAGGAGGATCCCTGGGGTTCAACTTAAAAAAGGGTGAAGAATGTTTGTTGAAAATCACCTACAGTTCATGCGTACAAAATTTCATGCACGTTCATTCAAAATTGGCGACGCTGGGTGCTTTTAAAGTTTGAAACCCCTGTTTTGTTTTGTAGGGAGGATCTCTGGGGTCCGACTTAAAAAAGAGGCGATGAATGCTGGACACTTTTGATGTTTGTAAAGTTTTGGTAACAAGAACAACAACATGAACATGAACAAGAACAGCAGTAAAGCTCTGGATCAGTGCTTCACGTCGACAAAAAATTGATATCAAGATAAATAATTTTATTGTAGAAACTGTAAAAATGATGCTAAATTTTAAAATTATACGATGACTTACTAAATGGGTTAACCCAACTAATGATGATTGCCTTTTTCCGTTTTTTAAATAGAAGTCTTTCCAAAGTTATTACACTGATATACTGATTGCTTCTTACCTTATTAAATGCTTACTCAAAGTCATTACTCTGATTCTGATTTGTCTCTTGCCTTTATTTTAATATCTAAATCATAATTTTTTATTAAAAGTTGTAAATAATATTTTATTTAATAAAGAGTCAGGAGTCTAGTTTGATAATATTTTATTTTATACTAATTTGTATTACTAGTCGATGGAATATCACCTTCGCCGAACCACACAAATCGAGGCAACAAATGTTACAAAATCTATAGCTGAGTGTGAGGATTAAATTAGTAAGTTGTATGGAAACATTTAGTTTTTGGCATGATTTGAACTCACGGTCATAAAGTAGTTTCACAATTACAATATTTTATATATACATACTGTATATATATACATACTGTATATATACATACTGTATATATTACTGAGATTATTTGTTATGTCTGTTCTTGTGTGTGAATAAATTAATGAAACAAACAAACAACTGATACTGATTACTTCTTGCCTTGTATGTTAATTAGAAAAGTTGTAAATAAGGTTGTAAGAAAAGCTAGGGCAGAACGCTTGGTGAACCAAATTTGGCTGAACATGTAGTTGTATTGTACTTACAGTACTTGTATTGCTATTTTTACTTAATTTTTGGTTTTCGTAAATTGTACTACAATAGAATGTGTGAAAATTGTAGATACTTAAGGTCTGATCTCGTATTTGAACAATCATTAATAACATTATAAGAGAAAGAAAAAACTGATCTTTGTAGGTTTAGATGTGGTAACCATAAGCTCCCAATTTATAGAAGATATTGTGATGATCACGCTACTAATTGTACTCTCTGTAATCGAAATGATACCGGAGAAGAATTCCATTATTTATTTGTTTGCGCTACACTAAGGAGCGTGAACAATATATTAAAAAATATTATTACACTAGACCTAATCAAAATTAAATGCACCAATAATTCAATACCAGATTGTACTTCAAGAAACAGTCCCGTCTTCAGGAATTTGGCCACAAGGAAATCAAAAGCCTATGACCACCTAGAGCTTAGGTCAGGGTCCCCAATTGAATTTACTACGCAGACTGCACAGCATCCTTTGGGGTATACCTACACCCATTAACACAAAGAGTTTTTCCGCAGATCTCGAAAAATTAATTTTGTACTTACAAGTTTGACAAAATTGCCCAGTGTAGCAAATAGGACAGGAACATGTGTAAGCTGTACAGGAACCAGCAACCTGAACACAAGCACCTCCATTTTGACAGGCATTGTTGTTGCAAGCATTTAACACTGAAATTTTATATTACTTCATCAATCAATCAATCAATCAATCAATCAATCAATCAACTGCTAGAAATGTCATTTTATCCAGAATAAAATTCTGCTCAGTGGTGCATTCGGAATATTCAAGAGAACATCTTACAGTGCATGCATTAGATGATGATAATAGGAATACAGATCGTATAGTTAATGGCTCCAAGGATAAACATTTGTAACTTACAAGTTTCACAAAATTGCCCAGTGAAGCAAATAGGACAGGAACATGTGTAAGCTGTACAGGAACCAGCAACCTGGACACAAGCAGCTCCATTCTGACACGCATTGTTGTAGCAAACATTTAACACTGAAAGTAAATATCACTTCATCAATCAATCAATCAATCAATCAGTCAGTCAATAGATCAATAAATGAGTAAATCAATAAATCAATCAATCAATAAATCAATCAATCAATTAATCAATCACCTGCTAGAAATTTTGTTGCATCATATGTCAAAGATAAGATTATGCTGAGTGGCACATTCATTCATTCACTTCTATTTTAGACATTGTCCATATGAAATACAAAACTAGATTTGAACTCGTCACTGAGGACGAGTTTGGTGATCCGCCATACTTTGACCCTCACAAAGCACACAAGGTTCTGATTGAAAAGTATTATAAGCTAAAACATGCTCTATTTAGTTTTTAAAAAGAGTAATTTTGAGCATTTTAATGACTTACGAATGTGTACACATACGTCTTAACATCCGTGCACACGGTAATGATATTAATAGTGTCACAAACCCAAAACTTAATGAGGAGCTATAACTGAATAAAAGTAGGCATAATTTTAAGTATACATAATTGTTGACGCACGCGTACGCGCATGTTAAGTCGCGCGAACAGAAAATTAAGTTACCCGATCGATCAAGGATAAGCGAGATACGCTCAAATGCATATTTTCAAAAATGACGTCATAGCTATAATTCACTTTCTTTGAATTCAGATGCCAATATGATGATGTCCTTATTTAAACACTGTATATGTACCTTTGATGATTTATATTTATATTA